CATCCCATATGGGTGCCAGTTCTAGTCCCGGCTGCTCCACTTCTGATCTGGCTCTCTGCTATGGCCTGGGAAAGCAGTAGAAGATAGCCCAGGTGCTTGGGCCCCTGCACCCGCGTGGGAGACCTGGAAGAAGCTTCTGGCTCCTGGCTTCGGATCGGCTCAGCTCCACCCATTGCAGCCATCTGGGGAGTGAACCAGCAGATGCAAGACCTCTCTCTCTCTCTGTCTCTCCCTCTCTCTCTGACTCTGCTTTTCAAATAAATAAATAAATAAATATTTTTTTAAAAAAATGGCCGTATCCCACATCGGAGTGCTGGGTTCTGTGTCTGTCTCTGGCTGCCGACTCCAGCTCCCTGGTGATGTGCACCCTGGAGGCAGCAGGTGGTGGCTCAAATGACCGGGTTCCTGTCCCCCACCTGGGAGCCCTGACCACGTTCCTGGCTCCCAGCTTTTCAGCCCAAGGCCAGCCTTGGCTGTAATGGGCATTTGGGGAGTGACCCAGAGGATGGAAGCTAGTCCTATCTATCTATCAATCGATCATCTGTCTTCTCTCTCTCTCTCTAGCTCTGTATCTTTCCGCCTCTCAAATAAACCCTTTACAACTAAGTGATGGGAAGGCCTTCAGCATTTGAGCGGACTTTTCATTGAGTTTAAATACAGCCGTGAACAGCCGGAGCACTCCACACCTTCCAGGTCTACAGCCCCGCCCTGCTGTGTGACCCTCGGCAGGCTCCTGACCCTCTCTGTGCCTGTGTCGCTGCATCTGTGAAGCCCGAATAACAGTGGCAGCGCCCACTGGGTCCTTAACAGAGTTCCACGGGGTAATTCAGGCGTCTGGCTCCGGCACACTTCCCTTTGCCAAGCTTGCCCCCACCTCAGGGCCTTTGCACTTGCTGCTCCTGCCTGGATCACTCTTGCCTGCATATCCACCTCCGGCTGCTTCAGGTCTCCCTCTCCCTAAGTCAGCCCCTTGCTGGTGCACGCTCCCGGGTCTCCCGTGTCCCCAGCCCAGCCTGGCACCGAACACGAGGGGGCCTCTGTGACTTTCCCCTTACTCCAGGAGCCGTGCAGACTCCTGGCTCCCAGCCCCAGAAGCCAGGGTGGGGGTGGGGGCTTCCTTCCCCACCCCCATCTCCCCTCCCCCCCAGCCCCACCCAGGATCTGCTTCCTCCTTCTGAGGATGCAGAAGCCTGGAGAGCAGCCTGAGCCCAGCGAGGAGGAGGAGGAGGAGGAGGAGGTCGTGGAGCCCCCGCCCCCGCCCCCGCCCGGCGCCCTGCACCCCTCCCCACCTCCCACCTGGCCTTCCCGCAGACCCCAGGTTCCTGAAGCAGCCCCGAAGGTGGTGAGGTGGCCCCACAGCACCCCCAGAGCCAGAGTGAGTCAGCTGGGGCCCGGCCAGAACCCCGAGCACCCTCACCGTTTCTTGGAAAGGCATGCACTGGCGTGTTTACACAGAACCAGGCACAGAGCACAAGGTGGCAGGAAGCGGGGTCCAGCTTGCTCCTCGGCCCCTCCCCCTGGCTCATTCTTGCCCCCGGGGGCCTCTGCCTCTTGCAAATGTCACCTCCTCTGGGAGACCCTCCCTGATTTTCCCTTCCTTTATTCTTTCTAGTACTGTCATCCCCCTCCATGATTGCAGGCTACAGCTGCAGGGTCCCAGCAACCCCTCCCTCCCTCCCTCCCTCCCTCTGCGGTGGGGGGGTGTCAGATGGTAACTGAAACTCAATAGGTTTGCTTTGCCCTTTTCACATTCTGCTTAGTGTGAGCTAACCGCTGTGACTAATCAGACCTGTGTTGAACTCCACATAGAGAGATGTGCACGGAAGAATTCCAGGGGCTGACTGCAGAGACATGGCTAGAACAGCCGGAGCTCACCTAGGAAGGAGCTCTTGACCACCTTGGATCCAAGTGACCACCCCCCTCTCCTTTCAAGCTGACCCTGAGGCTCTGCCTGGCCATTTTCCTCCCTAAAGCCCCCAACTCCCCTTCCCGCCTTTCAAAAGTCCCCTGCTGGGTTAGCCAGGTGGTTCTCTGCCTGCATCCCACCTGGGCCCCGGTTCGAGACCCGGCTGCTCCGCTTCCCATCCAGCTCCTTGCTAATGCACCTGGGAGAGCAGTGGAAGATGGGCCAGGTGTTTGGGTCCGTGCACCCATGTGGGAGACCCGGATGAAGCTCCTGGCTCCAGCTTGGTCCAGCCCCGGCCACTGCAGCCATTTGAGGAATGGACCAGCGGATAGAAGGGGATAGAGTGTGTGTGTGGTGTCAGGGGCGGCAGCTGACTTCTCCCACAGAACTAAACGCCGGGAGAGCAAGCTCTTTGACCCCGGCTCCAGCGCCAGCCCCCGCACGTATTAAGTGCTCAATAAACACTGCAAGAAGTCAATGGGGAAGCCAGGGGCTGCCCGTGAAGAGGTGGGGCTCATTCCCAGGCTCAGGGCAGCTTCTCTGGAAGCTTCTCTGGGACCCTGGGGGGGGGGGCGCTGTGGGAGGGCGCTGACCCCGCTCAGTTGAGGACAAGTCCACCCAGCGGGGCCCAACGGCCAAGCAGGGCCGGGCCTGTCTGCGCGCACAGGCCGCCCAGAGGACTGTAGTCGGTGCAAATGCAGGGAAGCCCCAGGCTCGGCAGGAGGCACGCTCCAACCCCACCCCCCCTCCCTCCGCAGGCAGGGCCCCTGCACACAACTCCGGGCCTTGGCTGCTGCTTCTCCCCAATGCATCTACTGGACCTTCGCAGCGGCATCCCAGCCAGGCAGCCACACAGACTGCCTGCTTTCCCGAATGCGCCTGCGCGCTCGCAAAGTCCCCCCCACAGCAGAGCCTCTGAGACGTGGGCTACCGCGCCAGGCAGCTCTTGAACCCGAGCCACCCGCTGCACTTCTCCACAAGTCAACGACAGCCATAAGCAGCTGGCGCGGACCTACTATGCGTTGGAAACTGTGTCATGGATCGTACAAAAACTGGCTTGGCTCAGCCATCAAGACGCCACGGTTCAAGTCCCAGCTCCACCCTCAGTTCCAGCTTCCTGCCCCTGTGCACCCTGGAAGGCAGCAGGCGAGGGCTCTGGTTTGGGGGTCCCTGGCACCCACCCCCATGCGAGACTCGGATTGCGTTTCCTGGCTCCTGGCTCTGGCCTGGTTCAAGTGCTGCAGGCATTTGGGGAGCAAATGGGATCACCCTTCCTATTATTGTCTGTCTGTCTACACCTCCATCTTTCAAACAAATCAAATAACAATTTAAAACTGACTTGACGTCATCAGCCGTCACCATGGAAGCCAGATTTTTACAAATACAAAGAAACAGCAGGAATACAAGGAGACAGCATCCAGGAGCTTCAGCCCCACGACAGCAAGCAAGGGCCACCCAGGGCAGGCGCCACATCACCCGCCCTCTACTCAGGCCTTACTGTTGGGGGGGAGGGGCGGGCAGGGAAAGGACTAGGGACGGGTCTCTCTTTCGACTGGTGATCCTTGGTGTCAGCCCTTCTGCCAGTCCCAAGCCGGAGAACCTCAGGGCGCAGTGTGGCTGCCACCCCGGCTTTCTGCAAGCCCTCGCACCCACTGTGCCAGGGCCGGGTGGCTGACTCACGCTTGAGACGTGAAAACCCTCAGGTCCTCGCAGACCTGTGGGTGCTGAGCCAGCTCGCTGCAGGGCCGCCTCCCTCCAGGGGCAGCTCTGGGGTGTGATCTGGAACTTTGCATTGCGACTCCAAGCCACTCAAGGTAAGGCCAAATCCACTGGCCTCCTCTCCTGGATACCCCTCAAGGATACCCCACATGGGGGCTGGTGTAGGAACAGCCCCCTCCATCTGCAGCTGGAAGCCCCGCCCACCGCCAGGACCCGAGGTGGTCACCCCCTACTGAGCTCCAGCAGCTGCGCTCCCCACCCCCCAACCCCTGCCACCCTGCCTTCTTCCTCCAGGGGCAGTGGCTAGGGGACAAACAGCAGTGTCCAGGACAGCACAGAGCCCAGTGGGTGCTAAAGGAATGGCTCGGAGGGTCACCGCCCGTCCTGGCTCATTGCGGGGTGGGCTGGCTGGACTCGTCCCACTGAGCCTCAGTTTCCCCATCGGACTTCCGGAATTTCGTAAAGGCACGCTAGTCTCAGCAGACGCGTGGGCTCCGGGAAGCCCAGGTCGGGGCGGAGCTACAGAAGTCGCCCCTCCCTCCCACAGGGCTGGGGGAGAGCAGGGTAGGGCTGCGGCTGAGCGAGGTCTGGCCTGGGGACATTCCCTGCATCCTAGTAGCCAGCAAACTGCTCGGCCCCCGACTTGCCCCGTTTCGAGGAATTCAGATTTTTTTCCCTAGGTTTATCAAACTTGGCTTTCCGGGAAAGAGCCTAGGAGTCTGCATTGTAAGCAAACTCCTCCCGGGAGAATCTGGTTACTGGGTAGTTTATAGTGTCCACAGCTGGGAGGCAGCTGTCTCTGGCTTCGAAATGCATGGGAGCTTGGGCCAGCTGTCCAGGCTGCCCTGGCCTCGGCGCCCGTATCTGGGCGATGGCCTGGTTTGGCTCAGAATCCCCTCAACACTCGGGCCAGAGCCCGAACACCTAAGTGCCAACTCCTACTGGGTGCACGCAACATTCCGAGAAGGCCAAAGGTCGGAAGCGCCTCGCTGCCCCCGCGTCGTGGACCCAGTAGCCACCTCCGCACCGCCCAGGACTCCCCTTCCCCAACACCTGTCCACACCCCTCCATGCGAACCGCATCGCGAGCGCGGGGCAGGGGGCGGCCCCAGACTCGCCTCACCCCACCCCGTGCGCACCGTGTCCCCAAGTCCCTGGCAGGGGGTCCCTGCTCAGGTCTCAGGGGTCAAGCCGCCCTTCCCCACCCACCCCCCACCCCGGCCCCGCGCCACCGCTGCCCCGAAATGGACAGAGCCGGCCCTGGGCTTGCGCAATCGCTCGGGGTCCCCACCGCCTGGGGCCCCCGCCGGCGCCCGAGCCCTTCCTGGGGGGCGACCTCTCGACGCTGGGGGCCGCCCGTCGGCTTTGGGTCCTACCTGACGGCTCCTGGTCCATTCGCCCACCGGGCGCCCGAACGAGAAGGAGGGGAGCCCCGGGCGGCGCGGCGCGGGGTTTTCCTGGGCGCGGGACCCAACCCGCCCGGGCTTCCTGCGCCCCGCCCCGGCGCCCGGCGGATTTGCATGCACCGCCCAGCCAGGCACCACCGGCTCCGCCCCGGCCGCGGGCTCTGTCCCCGCGAGGTCCGAGCCGCCGCCTCGCGCCCCGCGGCCCCCAAAGCTTCCCTGGTCTCGGGGAGACAGAGGCTGCCCGGACTGGGGCTCGGGGACTGGGCTCGGCCCGGACCGCCTGACCCCTGAGCGATTTCGCTTGGTAGCCAGGCTCTGTGGGAGGGAACAGTTGCATTTACAAGGGTGGGAGGGGTCCCTGGACGGCTGGAGTCCTCTCCTCCCCAGCCGCCCAGCTCCTAAAGGGCTAATGCTTGTTCATCCTTCTAATAAATGTTTACTCAGCAGGCCAGCGAAATTTAGATAGTAAAACCACCCTTTGCTCAGTAGCTCGCGCAATCTGCTGGGCCCCCGGCCAAGGCACTGCGTGCATGAACCCATTGAGTCCTCTGACTACATAAACAGTGCTAGTCTGCTATCACCCATTTTACAGATAAGGAAACTGAGGCTAGTGAGAAAGTTGCTCAGAACCACACAGCAGGAAGCCACGGAACCAGGACTCAAACCCAGGCTCCACAGGCCACCAGCTACCGGACACCACAAAGGCATGGAGGAGGGGCCTGGTTAGGCTGTTCGGGACCCCGGCACCCCAGATCAGAAGACCTGTGTTTGAGCCCCAGCCCTACTTCTTTAAAAAAAAAAAAAAGATTTATTTTTATTTATTTAAAAGACAGAGTTACAGAGAGAGGTAGAGACAGAGAGAGAGGTCTTCCATCCGCTGGTTCACTCCCCAATGGGCTGCAATGGCCGGAGCTGTGCTGATCCGAAGCCAGGAGCCAGAAGCTTCTTCCGGGTCTCCCAGATGGGCACAAGGGCCCAAGGACTTGGGCCATCTTCCACTGCTTTCCCAGGCCATAGTAGAGAGCTGGATCGGAAGTAGAGCAGCCGGGTCTTGAACCAGTGCCCATATGGGATGCTGGCGCTTCAGGCCAGGGCTTTAACCCGCTGCACCACAGTGTAGGCTCAAGCCTCAGCCCTTCTTCTGATGCCAGCTTCCTGCTAATGCACACCCTGGGAGGCAGCTAGTGATGGCTTAAGCCGGTTGGGTCCCTGCTGCCCACGTGGGAGGCCTGGCAGGCCCCCACCTCGGCCATTGCAGGCTATCAGAAGTGAATTAGACATGGGAGATTTCTCTCTCTGCCTTTCAAAAAAAAAAAAAAAATTCCATGATGGAGCAAAATGATAGGGAAAAAACTAGAGGCCCTAAGAAGAAAGTAAAACAGAGAGGGGCTTTCTAGGTCAGTGGGGCCACTGGCCAGGGGACGCTTTTCTGGGTAGGAGACAAGTGAGCTGATTCCCTGAAGTGGGAGTGGGGGGCGGGGAGGGGAAGACCAGTTTAGGAAGAGCGTGTAGCAGGTGCAAGGGCCCTGGGTTGGGAACCCGCTTAGCCTGTTACAGGAATTATACCAAGTCCAGGGTGGCTGTGGAGTACTGAGTGCAGGGAGAGCAGAGGAGGGGAGATGGGAGACAGGCAGGCAGGGCACGGCTGGGGGCACAGACTCCACTGACCCCACCATCCTGTCCTCAAAAAGCTCCCAGCCTGAGGGTGGAGACAAACTCTCAACTCCAAGGGCAGCCCAGTGGGGTCCAGTGCTGTGGCGGAGGGTGAGCCAGGGACCAGCAAAGCCCCCATAGACCCCTGGGTAAGGTAAGGTGTGGCTTCTTTGACCTTCTCGGTCTGTCTCGGCCCCACTGTGGCCCCAGCCCTGTGACAGACAGACAGGTATGAGGACAGAGATGTGGACTCTGCCCTCTGACACCTTCCAGTCACATCAGCGAGGCAGTCAGCTCAGCGAGGGAACCCTGGACTCGGACCTGGGAGTCCAGGAGGGCTTCTTGGAAGAGATGTCTTCTGACCAGTGAATCAGTGTGGAAGAAGGGAAAGGCGCACGCGTGTATGTGTGTGTGTGTGTGTGTGTGTATAACCCAGAGGGGAGATGTGGCATGGGAGTGTGGGAAAGCTGCCATCACCCAGCAGCTGTCCCAGTCACCTCCTGGTACCAGATCCTGGGCCAGGCCTGGGGAGACACAGCCCCACTCCCTGGCCCTGGGGAATCACTGGGTCACCACAAGCAATTGAGAGGGGACAGACACAGAGGGGACCCCGGGGAGGGCTTCCAGGAGCTTTGGGCTTCCAGAGTAGGTTTCTCCAGACCAGATGTGACTCCCACACCTGCACACACGTGTGCAGGCACACACATGCACACACCCACAGTCACATTCCCACTCTCCCACTCACATATGGTCACATACACACTCACACACCCACACACTACACTCATGCATACTAACACTCACACTCATGTACAATCACACACACTCGTGTGCACACTCTCAAGCAGTCATGCTCATGCACACCCGCACAGTCACACAGCCACACTTGAGACACATCCACACACCCAGCCAGTTTGGAATTCAGTCCTGCAAGAGAGAGTCCTTGCTTTGTCTGTGAGCCTCTGAGCCATCTGAGACGGTCACTGAAAGCCACCTCTGAGGTGCTCTGGGGATGTGGGGCGTGGGCTGGATCCAACCGCACACTGGGCTCCCAGCCCGGTCTCTGAGCCCTTAACTCACCCTGCCTCCCCTCCTCGCCCTGCATCTCACTGACTGTGAGTGTGGGCAGAGTGGGTCATCGGCCCGCAGCCTCAGCTTCCTCCTCTGTGAAGTGGGCGTAAGAGCGGACCCACCTCCTAGGGGTGAGGGAGAGGGACATGCGAGCAACACCGCCTGCCATGCATCAGGTCCTCGATAAGTGTTCCTGGTTGTGCTTCTCTTCTAATTTTATTTATTTTCATTTTATTGAGAGGAGGGGGGAGGGGGAGGGGGAGAGGGAGATCTTCCTTCCATGGGTTCACTCCCCGAATGCCCATGGAGACTGGGGAGCTTGGGATTCAGTTGGGGTCATCAGGACCCAACCGCTTGAGCAGTCACCTGCTGCCCCCCAGGGCGCACCTTGGCAGGAAGCTGGATTCGGGAGCCTGGGACTCGAACCCAGGCATTCCCATGCGGGATGTGGGCGCTCCAGGGGCCCCCTAGCTGCTGAGCCAAAGGTTCCCTCTCATGGTCATTCTCACTGGAACGAAGAGGAGCGAGAAGGGATATCAGAGCCTGCTCCCTCGGCCTGTGGATGAAACAAAGGCAAAACACGGCTGAGGAGACAGGCGAGCAGGGAGCAGATGTGGCCAGTTGTGCCGCGCTTTGGGAAACTGGCAGTGTCTCTGCAAGTCTGAAATGACCTCAGAGTAACTGAAGACCCTAGGGCCTGGCTGAGACCCACCCCGAGATGCCGGAGCTGGCTGCCCTGGCTCAGGCCCTGGGAGCCCCCAAAATACCAGAACCGCCATCTTCCGATCCAGGGGGTTCCCGGCCTCCACTCATTGCAAGTTCATCCCGCCTCGTAGCACAGCACACTGACTCATTCCCAAGCCAATCTTCCTGTTTTTCAGACCCGCACTAGACTCTCCTTGTTTGAACAGCTCTAGATGCCCAGGGAAATGGAGCAGATGGCACAGGGGGTTCTCATTCACCTCCCTAACCCTGCCCTCCATCCCCGTTACCATCATTGGATGTTGCAAGGGAATCCATAATAACCCCCTGTTCATAGCGAAGTCTTGCTCTATCCCTCATGCAGGCCTGTGGGTCTGGAGAAGGGCACAACGTCACGTGGGCAGTGAGGGCACAAGATAAAGAGCGGCTCCATGCCCCCAGAAGTCCCCTCTGCTCCCCGTTTCCGTCCCACACTGGGGACACCGCTGGTCCTTTTCACTTGATCCGTAGTTTTGCCTTTGTCAGAATGTCATCTGGTGGGAATCAGAAAGCAGAGTCAGCCCACTGGGGGCCGCATCTGTGGATTCAACCCACCTCGGATTCAAGACAGTTGGGAAGGGGCCAGTGCTGTGGTGTAGTGAGCTAAGCCTCTACCTGCAGTGCCGGCATCCCATATGGGCGCCAGTTTGAGTCCTGGCTGCTCCACTTCTGATCCAGCTCCCTGCTAATGCACCTGGGAAAGCAGTAAAAGATGGCCCAAGTCCTTGGGCTCCTGCACCCACGTGGGAGACCCGGAAGTAGCTCCTGGCTTCAGATCAGCTCAGCTCCAGCCGTTGCGGCCAATTGGGGAGTGAACCAGGGGATGGAAGACCTCTCTCTCTCTCTCTCTCTCTCTCTCTCTCTCTCCCTCCCTCCTTTCCTCCTGCCCTCTCTTCTTCTCTCTTTGTTGCTAAATAATGCTCCCCTGTACACCTATGGATGGACCTCTTATTTCTATTCACTTAACAAAAGACATCTGGGTTGCTCCCAGTTTGGAACAATTATGAATAGAACTGCCATAGACACTTGTGCATACGGGGCTCTAAGGACTTGGGGCATCTTCCGCTGCCTTCCCAGCTCACTAGCAGGAAGCTGGATTGGAGGCACAGCAGCTGGGACTCGGACAGATGCTCTGATATGGGATGCCAGTGTTGTAAGCGGTGGCAGCTCTGCGCCCACAGCATTGGCCCCAGTCACTATTTTTAAGTTGGTTATTTGTTCTTATTACAGTTTTAAACTTATTTATATCCTCTGGACACAAGTCCTTTGTCAGATATTTGTTTTGCCAGGGTTATGTCCAACTCTGTGGCTTATCATTCTTTTCTTTTATCGATGTCTTTTGCAAAGCAAAAAATTTAAATTTTGATGAAGTCAAGATTATCAACTATTTTCGTTCACAGATCATGCTTTTAGTATCTCAAAACTCCTTACCAAGGACCAGCGTTGTGGTGCAGCGAGTTAATCCATATGGGAAGGTCGGCGTGAGTCCAGGCTGCTTCACTTCTGATCCAGCTCCCTGCTAATGTGCCTGGGCGGAAGCAGGTACTGGCCCAAGTCCTTGAACCCCTGCCACCCATATGGGAGATACAGATGGAGCTCCTGGCTCTTGGCTTCAACCTGGCGCAGCCCAGATTAAAGATCTCCCTCTGTGTCACTCTGCCTTCCAGAGGAAATAAATAAATTAAAAACAAAACAAAACAAAACATTGCCAAACCCAAGGTCACCAAGATCCAAGATTTTATCCTTAGGGTATCTTCTGAAAGTTTCAACTGTTGCTTTTTAATTTTTATTTGTTTATTTATTTATTTATTTTTTTACATTAAGATCTGTGATCCTTTGTGAGTTACTTTTG